CAGCCTGTTTCCTGACTCTATAGAGTTTCGGAGGTCCACCAGCCTTCTTTCGGTTTTATACTCTCTCCATCTCTTCAGTCCACTGAGGCAGTTTGTGGGCTAGTATGCCATCCTCGAGAACCTTGTGGGTCTCACATGTATGTCATGGATATTCATTTGGTCAGACAAGAAGCTCTTGACAGGTCTTTCCTCGATAAACCTATTTCTATTCTTGGCTTCTGCTGAGATGGCTGTGGAGGTCTGAGTCACATGTTTAAGCTTTTCAAAGAGCTTTTTGTGTGACTGAATACTCTGACCTTTTGATCTGAGATATTAGCAAAAGATTTTCTAGCCACAGCCTTGGCTTTTTCTCTAGAGCATGCTTTCCTGACAGGGAATGTCTCAATTTTAGCATCTTCTGCAGTCCGGATAGGCTGAAAATTTCCAAAATCATTAAGTCCTGGTTCCTTTTTGTCCAATAGTTCTTTCTCAATTTATTTGTTTCCTCCCATGTTTTATGTGAGCAGCGAGAAGACACTAGGCCACACTTTCAGCACTTTGCTTGGAAATCTCAGCTAAATGTCCAGTGTCATCATTTACAAGTTCTGCTTTCCACAGAACTGTAGGACACAATTCTGCTAAGCTCTCTGCCATGATGTAGCAAGGATGACCTTCCCTCAAATTTTCCAGTAGCATGTTCCTCATTTCCTCCTGAGCCTTCACCAGCAGCACCTAATTCATCAACTGTGATTCTACTAACAGTCTGTTCCCAGGGATGTAGGTATTCTCTGAAGAAATTTGCTCATTTCTCCACCATGCCCCTCACTTCCTTCTGAGCCCTCATTGGGGGGGTTGTTTAACATCCATATTTCTACTAACCATCTGTTCAATCTAGAATCTAGGTTACGATCTCGGCCATTTTGGTCATGGTCCTCAAATTCTTCTGGCCTCTGCCCACCACCGCTCAGATCTAAAGCTGCTTTCCCATTTGTGGGCATTTGTTATAGCAGCACCCCATTGCCAGGTGCCAAAATCTGTTGCATTCCTTTTGATTACATTGCATCTTTGCAAGTCTGGGTGTTTAGTGGCTGCTGTGATGAAAAAGTAACACATGAGAGAGATGAGGGAAGCAGTGTCCAGTTTCCTTCCAAGGTTTGAGTGCCCAACACTGCCCAGCAGGCTTGCCCACGCATGCATCCCATTAGTAATTGTGGCTATTTAAGAATGAAATAAAAATTTCTTTTTCAATTCATACGTATTATTTTCTCAAATAGATACTAAATTTTAGTACATAAATACTGATTAAATTGTTTGGTCCTAACGGTGTGGTAACTGGAACTAGTACATACTGCTTTTGACCTAAGGGTGCCATGAAAAACTTGAGACACAAAGGGTGCCATGAACCGAGAAGCTTTGAGAACTTCTGTCTTAGAGGGATGTTGGGTAGAGTAGTTGATGCCTTAGACAGTGAGACATCAGTGTGTATTCTTGAATGGGGGAGTGATTTGAAACCATTCTATCTTAAGGATATAGTATGTTATAACTGTATACTGCTTTATGGTTTTTAAGGTGCTTTACATGAATTAGGTCAGCTGATGAATCGGGAAACAGGGCACAGGATGGATTGAAGGAAGGATTAAAGGCTCTTGGAGTAACCTAGGTGTGAGATGAATGTCTAAAACAAGAGTAGCCGTGAAGGAAGAAGTATAGGACAGATGCTGTGCAGAAAAGTTCAAACGATTTTGGTGACATATTAGATAAGGGATATAAAGGAGAGGGAAGAATCCAAGATCATTGCAAGGTCTCAAATTTAGTACACTGGGATATTGGCGGGATCATTGATAGAGTAATGACTCTACTTTGAGAAAAGGAACTGGTGGAGTGGCAATGGTGGAAACTAGACCAGAGGGGGGTTGTTAAGACAGGAGAATGAAGAGGAGGTAGTGGGTGTAGACCACATATACCAGGATTGGGGAAGTAAAGGGAAGGAGATGAATAGAACAGTGTTTTTTGAGAAGAAATGGGACTGTAGAATACATGGTAACAGTATCTTGGTTGAGATGGTAGTTACATGACTGTATACATTTGTCAAAACTGTTAGAACTACACACTTAAAAAAGATTAATTTTACTCTGTGTAAATTTTACCTGAATACATGAAAACAGAGCTTTATTTTTCTTTTTAGTTAAGATATAATTCACATACTATAAATGTCACCATTATTAAGTGTACACTACAGTGATTTTAGTATATTCACAAATTGTGCAACCATCACCACTGTCGAACTCCAGAACATTTCCACCACCCCAAAAAGCGACTCCTTGTCTGTTAGCAGTCACTCCAATCCCTGGCAACCGCATAATCTACTTCCCTTTATTCCCCCAGTATTTTTTATTGTGGTAAGATAACAGGTACCGTAAAATTTACCATCCTAACCATTTCTAAGTGTATGGTTCAGGGGCATTAAGGACGTGCACACTGTTATGCAACCATCTCCACCATCCATCTCCAGAACTCTTGTCATCTTGCAAAACTGAAACTCTATACCTATTAAACCATAAGTTCCCATTCCTACTTCCCCCAGCCCCAGGCAACCACCATTCTCCTTTCTGTGTCTATGATTCTGACTACTCCAAGTACTTCATTGAAGTGAAATCACACAGTAATTTGTCTTTTTGTGACTGGCTTATTTCACTTAGCATAGGGTCCTCAAGCTTCCTGCATGTTGTAGCATGTGTCAGAATTTCCTTCCTTTTTTAAGGCTGAATATATATTCTGTTGTGTGTGTACGTATCTGTACATATGCACACATGCGCACGCGTGCAATACGTTTTGCTCATCCATTCATCCATCAGCAGACACTTGGGTTGCTCCCACGTTCTAGCTCTTGTGACTTACAGTCTATTTTGTCGGATATTAGTATAGCCACCATTTCTCTCTTTTGGTTACTGTTTATATGGAATATCGTTTCCCATCCTTTCGTTTTCAACCTATTTGTGTCTTTTTTATAACTAAAGTTCATCTCCTGTGGGCAGCATATATTTACATTCATAGTTTTGGGGGGGTTTTTTTTAGTCATTCCACCAATCTCTGTTTTTTGATTGGAGAGTTCAAACCATTTACATTTAAAGCACTCATGGATAAGGAGGGACTTCTGTCATTTTGCTCTGTTTTCTGTATGGCTTAGAAGATTTTTTTTTTGTGTCCCTCATTACCTATATTACTGTCTTCTTTTGTGTTCAGTTGATTTTTTTGTAGTGAAGATTTATTTCTCATTTCTTTTTGTGTATATTTTATAGCTGTTTTCTTTGTGGCTACCATGGGATTACATGATCCTGTGATCAGGAGAAGCAAACAGCAATCAGAGCGCAGATCCCCAATATTTGGAGGACAGGCTCTTTTTGCCCACCCTGGCTCCTGCAGGCTGCTCCTAAAATGTGTGCACAGCTGCCTGCCATGGGCCTGTGGATGGGAGATGGTAGCTACTCCTGTTCTAAGAGCTGAAATTTGCCAATGTACCATTCAAGCCTTCTCCCGAAAGTTGCAAGCCATCAGTAGACTCTAGAGTTCCAAATAGTTCAGACAGTTCTGCCAGTGCAGTGGCTGTCTAGGTGGGGGGATAGATTCCTGGTGCTTCCTACCCCATCATCTTTCCAGAATCCCATCTAATCCACTTCTTTTAAAAATAGTTTTAAGGGGCGCCTAGGTGACTCAGTCAGTTAAGCATCTGCTTTCAGTCCTGGGAGCCTGCTTTTCCCTCTGCCTGATGCTTCTCCCTCTGCTTGACACTTCTCCCTCTGCCTGATGCTTCTCCTTCTGCCTGTGTGTGTGCACACGCTCGCTCTCCTGACAAATAAATAAAATAAAATCTTTCAAAAATAGTTTTAAAATAGAATTGTAAGAGAAAACAAGGAATAGTTCTTCATCTGCGACTTGAAGGAAAGATACAAACATAGCAGTGTGAATGTTAGTAGCTTGGAGGGGAGTAAGTGTTTATAGGGGAGCTCACGTATGATTACTCTTCTCTGTGTAGTCAGAATCTAACTTAATATTAGTAAGGTGGAGGTAAGGAAGAATTCCTCTTAAGGAGAGAAGAGGTCTACAAAACCCTTGGGAATGATCCAAGGAGTCCAGAGATTTTTTAAAAATACTAAATTTGTCCTATTTCAGGTGTGTACAGCTCTACAGTAAGATATAATCCTAGGTTATAGAATTAAATAAGGATTAGTCATTTGAAATTGGCAGTTTTTAAAAAGTAAAATTCATGTTTTGACTTACACATATTACATCGTTTGACCCTAGGTTTAATGTTGTTCATTTGGGCAGAGAGATAAAAGAGAAAGAGCAAGAGCCAGAGCTGGGGTCCAGCCTCCACTAACAGATGTGCAGTGGAGGGTTGAAGGGGACTTTGTTGTTCATTGGTGCCCTAACTGCTGTGATCAACATTTGAATGAAGAGCTATGTAGATTTTTTTTTAATTTATTCATGAGAGTCAGGGAGAGAGAGAGGCAGAGGAAGAAGCAGGCTCCCTGCCTAACAGGGAGCCCGATGCGGGACTCGATCCCAGGACCCTGGGATCATGACCTGAGCCGAAGGCAGACGCTTAACCATCTGAGCCACCCAGGCGCCCCGCTATGTAGATATTTTTAAGTTAGCATTGGATTGATTTGTAATAGGTAGGGTGCAGTATTTGTTATTTGATCCTGACTTTCAACTTGGTCCTGAATTGTTTACCTGTAGTCCTCTGACAGTCGGAGTAGCTCCCCATCAGCTTATCAGTATGGCTCTGTCCTCGCTCTGCAATTTAGTCTTCTGTCATTGTCTACAATGTCAGCTCTCCCAGCTCATGATTCTAAAAGCCCTGAAAATTTGAAGAACACAGTACTTTTTAGGATTTGTGACCATTTTACCTTTGCAACCAAAGTGACCACTTAACATTACGACTTCGTCATTTTGACATGTAATTGCAAAGGCAGTGGATTCCCATCTTAGTTTCTGAAAGTGTAGATGTTCACACTTAGGCTGAATATTCTACATTGTCAGCTTCTGCTAAATGGGAGCATCTCAAAAATCGTAAAATTGTTCAACAGATCCTCAGCATCGATGTGCTTCTTCTTGCTTTTTCTTTCAGGTTGACAATAAATGCCCTTGCCCAGAAGCTCAATGCTTATTGGAAGGAAAAGACATCCCAAGAGAATTTTGAGACCTCCGCCATCACCACCAGGCCAATACCGTGAGTAGTAAATACAGGATATAAAAAGTATCAGGGATGATGTCCATAGAGCAAATGGAAGGAACAAGGGTAGTAAGATGGTGCTTTTCACGTAAGGAAATTTAATGAACTAAAAATAGGAAATCACAGGTACTAATTTCATCATTCTCTAGATCTCTTCATTCTGGTTTAAAACTTGTATGGTTTGGCTCATAAATATGAAGAGTTTAGGACTGTGAGTTTATCCTACAGGCAGTGTGATATAGTGGAAGATGACGGCCATTTAAATAAGACACTTCTGGGTTGAAAATCTGGATCTGCTTCTTAATAGTTGGGTGAGCTTCGGTAGGTTACTTCACCTCCGTGAGAATATGAAATTAGCATAACATTTTTAGCATAGTACCTGGCATATAGTAAGTGTTCAGAAATGTTAGCAAACTTCCCTTCTCTTTATTCTTAGTGAACATTGTTGGACCTGTACCAAGCAATTTGAGGGTAGAAGTAGAGAACCCAGCATACCAGGAAAAAGGTAGAATTTATTGAATCTAAGATGGGCAATTACATACAGAACTGTGGATCAAGATGACATGCCTCAGTGAGTCAGGAAGGGAGCATAAAGCAGAGGATAGAATGTGTAACAACACATACATAATCAGTTACACCACCGTCATGACAAAGATTAGAGTGTAAAAAGTTTATTTTGGGGATTGTCACCTGTGGGTTTTTTTTTAATGGAAGTTATCAGGCAAATGTATGATATAAAATTTCATTTCAAATGCAGCATAATCGGCTGTTGTGTGAATCACTGTCTTATTCTGAAGATCTCTGCTCATGTCCAGACTCTGTGGTTTTCAAAGAAATGCCAACTTAGACGAGATGCCATTTTTTTTTTTTGCCTTGCAAATAAGCAGTGATTAATGCAGTGAAGCAGATGTTCATATATTGCTGGAGTGTGTGTGAATGTGTTATACCACCTTTCTGGAGGCAGAATTGTGATAATTATTATTATTTATTGAATACTTATATGCCAGGCCCTGGTGTAAGTTCTTTACATGTAGTTAAATTTATTTGATCATTACAACAACCCTATGAGGTAGACAGAATCATCATTTACCTCTTTACGAATGTAGACACTGATAGACTGAGAACTTAACTTGCTCAAGATGAAACAAGTAGAAAGTGGTAGATACAAGGTTCAAATATAGGCAGTCAGCCCCCCAAACCCAAGTTCTTAGCCATGACACTCTTCTGGAAGGATGCAGTGAGGGGAATATGGTGTAACCCCTTCAACGACCTATTTATTGCAAGCACGAGCTAAATGCCTCTGCCTGGGTAGAAGGATCTACCATAGTCTGATGTAACCCGAGGCAAGGAGTTGCTGTCTCTAATGCTTGTCTCCAAGGCAGTAATATTGGTATACTTCTGCAGGCAGCTCTTCTGTGCATCTACATGTAAAACCAAAGCTAATATGACCTTTCCTTTCCCCTACCACTACTTCTGAAAGTGCTTTTTGCTGTCTCTGACTCTAAATGAAACAGTGTGGCTGTATGGAAATATGTGGACACCAGAGGTCAGGCCTGAGCTTGGAGCTTAGAGGTTACAAGGCTGGAGCAGCCTGGAGCTAGGAGAGAGGAAGCTATATATCTAAAAACACGTATGAATTCTCTTTGTTAAAACAGAGTTTTATTTTTTAAAAAAGATTTTTATTTACTTATTTGTCAGAGAGAGAGAGCACGCGCACGAGCAAGGGGAGTGTCAGGCAGAGGGAGAAGCAGGCTCCCCGCTGAGCAGGAAGCCCGATGTGGGACTCGATCCCAGGACAATGCGGGACCTGATCCCAGGACCCTGGGATCATGACCTGAGCCGAAGGCAGACGCCCAACCGATTGAGCCACCCAGGCATCCCTAAAACAGTTCTAAACAAGAAGAGGACATTGTGTTTGAGTAGTAGAAATACGAGTGCCTTTTCTTTTTTATATCTTTCTGTATTTTCCAGTTTTTCTATAATAAGCTTATATTTTTATAGCTAGAAAAAAAGCATCATTTAAAAAGATAAGGAAGGGGCACCTGGGTGGCCCAGTTGGTTAAACATCCGACTCTTGATTTCAGCTCAGGTCATGATCTCAGGGTAGTGAGAACGAGCCCCACATCGGGCTCCGCACTGGGCATGGAGCCTGCTTAAGATTCTCTCCCTCTACCCCTTCCCCTCCCCTCCCACTCCACTCCCTGCTCTCACGTGTGTGCGCTCGCTCGCTCTCTCTCTAAAAAAAAAAGATAAGGAGAACATTGAACTAAGACATAAAAGAACCCTATCGCTCTATTGCAGTGGCCACTAGAAGAGCAGTATAAATGTAACATACATGCATCATACTCTAGGCTAAATTACATGTTTCTCAAATCGGCCCTTGGTGCCCTCTGCCCTCTTTCTGCCTTTCTCCAGCCTTCTCCCTCCAGTCTGCTTTTCACACCTTAGATGCGGACTACTTCTGTTACAGACAGACCATCTCCTTTCACAGAGCTACACAGTCTCTCTGAGGTATAGGTGACTGGGTTACGCTTCCTGACAGCGATGGGAGTGGCTTTGTGTCTTAAGCATAGAACTCTGGAAGGATTTTCACCTGAATTTAACCCAGTTGTTGGACTGGAGCCACCATATCTAGTTAGGAAATTTATTCACATTTATAGGACTTTTTAAGATTAATATTGGGAATATCAACCTAATAAAATTTTGATTGAAGTATAAACAAAGACTTTTGAACAGAAAAAAAGAGAGGACTAGGGAGTCTGCAGGGAAATGGGGGAGATTTGATGATGATGATGCTTCCGTGACTTCCACAAATGCATTTCAAACCTGTCACACAGTTGGATGGAAGCAAATAAAATGATTCTATGGGTTTTATTTCATGGTAATATTGTTACATATATATTTATATGTATATAAATTTTTTCCTAGTTAATTTTTGAGTTAAAATTATCCTCTTGTTTGCTTAGAACAAGAGATTTTGGATAAATATGATTCACTTCCATAAATAATGGTAGCTTACCATGTTAATACTTGTTACTATTTTTCATATCTATATCTGGTATAGTTCTATTATTATTTGTGACGTTCAAGATACATATTTTAGACACCTTGACCATAACATAACAGTTCTAACATATTTCATATATAAAACTTTGTTCTTTCACTTTTAGGGTGTGCCTTTCTAACGTAAGGGCACAGAGCTAGGATATACACAGTCATACTTCTGTTTTCCTTCATTCAGGAAGATTCCTGACCAGACATGGGTACAGTGTGATGAGTGTCTTAAATGGAGGAAGCTTCCTGGAAAGGTTGATCCGTCTACATTACCTGCAAGATGGTTTTGTTACTATAATTCCCATCCGAAGTACAGGTAAGGTTGGGACTCAGTGCTGTGTTAGAGAAAATTCCTGATTTGTCTCTGTATTCTAAAACACTTTTAAAAAAAGATTTTTTTTGAGTGTAGTTGACCTATAACGTTACATTGGTTTCAGATGTCTGACACGAGCATAGTGATTCGACAAGTCTGTACGTTCTGCTGTGCTCACCACAAGTGTGACTCCCCTCTGTCCCCATACAACACTGTTACTGTACCAGTGACCATATTCCCCCTTGCTGTACCTTTTATTCCCAGGATTTGTTCATTCCATAACCAGAACCCCACCCCCTTGCACTCATTTTGCCCACTTAAAACACTTGGCTTCAAGTCCTCACTCTGCAGCCTGGCGTCCGAGCCCCATGCTAACCGACCCCACCCTACCTGCCCAGCCTTCGTGTTCGTTGTACCTCAACACAAACCGTACGCTGTAGCCAGATCTGCGGCTCCAGTGTTCTCTGCACGCGTCGTGCTTGTTCCCTCCTCTGTGACTTGACCGTGTCATTCTGCTTGCTTACAGTGAGTTTCTGCATTCCATCTGCCCACCCACACCACAGCCATCTGGGAAGCCGGAGTGTTCTTGTGTGATACCCCTCCTGTTGACAATAGTTTACAATGATTTTATGCCGGCTTCCTGTGGTCTTTAATTCTTGACACGTTTGTTCACATCCTGTTTTGTATTCTTTAGATGGTTTTCATATGTATATACTTTGGCTCTTCAAGAGACTGTAAACTATTCGAGACCGAGGGCTTTACATTTCAGGTGGGGTTGATGATTTTCTTCACATGCTTCCCTTCCTCTGCCTAAATCTATCGTCGTACCTTATTGTGCATTTAATGCCGTCTGTTCACATGTCCCCTGCAGGATCTAACATCTAAATACTGCCTGGCATATTGGTGAGCATTCATTTCATTTAACAAATATTTTCAATTTGACTCCGTAGTCACAAAGGTTCAAAAGAATAACTCCTTTTGCTTCACTTCAGCTGTGACTTTCTTAATATTTTTTTCCTGTTGGATAAATGCTGATAGAAAAAAAAAAAAAGATACTAAAACAGGGTATGCGTTTTCAGAAAAATGTTTAAAATGGAGGAAATTAAGTAAATGAGGTCTAGGTCTATGATGAGTAAGCATTCCCCCATCGTCGTCTCCTGATGTCCCAAAGCCCCTCTCCCTGGACAGTAACCGGGACTGTGGGACTAGAATGTGGGACTGAGTGCTTAGGAGTCTCCATTTTGAAGCCTGGATCTTCTATCGGTTTACACTTTAGTCCAGGAGACATAGCCTTCCAGGACATGCCTCCTTAATAAAATGGGTATATCATAGGGTTTCCAGTTATTACTAATTTTCGTTTATTTGTTCTAGAATTGCTTTTGATCATTGAATACATTTTCTAGTACTCCTTTTAGTGTTTACTCCTAAGATTCTCTTCCTTGTGCTCTACATATAGCAGATGTATTTCCATTTATAGAATCCTTTCTCTCCTCTGTGCTCTAGTCTCCGCTGTGTTGTTTTTACAATGTCAGCTCCTAATCCCTTATTGCTTCCCTCTGTCATAGCCTCTGATTTTCTTCTTCAGGTATCATCACTTAGTTTAGGGATTCTCATGCTTCTAGACTGCACCTTGGGAATTACTTTCTTTGTAAACCAGAGGCAAAAGACCCAGGTTCTAGTCACAGCAATCATCTCTTTGTGTGGATCCTCAGGCAGGTCTCTCTTGTGCTTGAAATCCACTGTGTAAGAATAGAGATTATGCTTCTTGCCATCCACCATCATAGGAGTTTTGTAGCTGTCAAGTACTTTGAATGTCTTTGGGGAAAGGTGATATATATACCAAAAATAATTAGATAATGGTATGCCTTGAAGTAAGATTGCTACATGTTGGATGCCTAGGTGGCTCAGTCGGTTAAGCATCTGCCTTTGGCTCAGGTCATGATCCCAGGGTCCTGGGATAGAGTCCCGCATCCGGCTCCCTGCTCAGTAGGGAGTCTGCTTTTCCCTCTCCCTCTGCCCCTCCCCCCTGCTCCTGCATGTGCCCACATGCACGCGCTCTCTCTCTCTTTCTCTCAAATAAATAAATAAAATCTTAAAAAAAATAAAAGAATTGTTACATGGTAACCTGGCACACGGGTTTTGTAATGTGAGTGGAACCTGAACTCTAGTGTCAGAGGGTTGTTGACCTCTATGACCTGCCTCGTCATAGTTGTAAGGAGAGTAAAGGGTAAAACCATAAGGGCGCATTTTGTTTCCAAAAGATGATTTCTTCTCTGTACTGCAGGAGATGCTCTGTTCCAGAGGAACAAGAACTCATTGATGAAGACCTGTACTTGAGCAAAGCTAAGAAACAGTTGAGTATACCTAAGGTTCTAGATCATACAGTAGAGGGGCCTGACCCTTCATAACAGGACAGGGGGAGTTTTGAGAAGAGAGATGATTTTTTTTTTTTTTTCTTTTTTGGCTTTGAACGATTTCGCTCTCACTTCTCTGTTCTCCCAATTCTTTTTTTTCTTTCTAATCTCCTGAATGTCTAACTCATGATTGTCTTCTGTCTCTCACCTTCCCCTCCCCCTCTCTCTTTTGATGGGACATTTGATCTCTCTCTTCAGTGGCAGAGTTTAGGAAGATACCCTCAGTTACTCAGTGAGGCCCACACTATTTCTAATTCGGAAGGAACATTATAACCTAAATCTACAATCTCCATTGCCGATGGAGAAATTTCACGAGTGAACTAAATAGCACTTTTATCTTCTCCTAGAGATCAAGCTGTCGAGAAGAAGCTGCCACCAGTGGACAATGAGAACCACCAGGTGAGAGACAGTCCGCCCTCTTTCTTTTCTCATACGAAATTTTCCCCAACAGAGGACATAGGTTGAAGGAAGCAGCAGTCTTGAAAGCTGCATAGAAATAATGAACCAGTTCTTCTGGTGGTCTTTTTTTCCATTGGATCTTTTGATTTTGCCTTGATCTGCTGTTACTGACGTTCAGATCACCAAAAATAGAAGAGCCAAATCTTTTATTTCCCAGATTTGGATTTCGTACTGATTCTGGACAGTGTGAATGTCACGTTCAGTGTCACAGAACATTCAGGGTTGTGTTCCATCCTCATACCGGCTGCTCCTGTTGAGTGTCTGGTTTTTCCTCAGTCTCCTTTCTTCCAGGACTCAGGGATGATTCCTTCCTCCTTCCTCTCAGGAAGAAGGGGTGGTTCTCTGTGCCCCTCCCCTATCCCTGCTTTCAGGCTGGCTGGCTTTATAAAGACTCTGCTGTTTTGAATTTTCAGGAGCACTGTCTCTCGGACATGGTTGCCCAGCTCCGGACGCTGAAGGGTGCAATAAGGTTGGCCGTCCTCAGGGACACTCCTTTCCTGACAGCCACCATAGCACCCATGTATCTTCCCCACCCAACCTTGCCTTTCTGCATGATTTTCCTCTTGACCCTCTTTCCCAGAGATATCTGCTAGTAGCATGTTAGATTCACCTTCTCCCCCCGCCCCCGCCCCAGTCAGGGTAGGTCAGACTGGTGAGGATAGAGGCAATCTAATACTAATTCTTCTTCTGACATCCTGCCGAGACCCAGGCATATGAATGCACAGGTTTCATACCTTAATGTCTTGGCTTAATCGTCTGATCTAGAGATTGCGAGATTTCCTGGGACCGCCCTGTCCTCATTCAGTTTACCTCCCCTTTATATTCCTCCACCTTCATCATTTCTACTCTCTTCCTCAGCTGGCTCTCCCACAAGATCTTAGATGCATGTCTCTGTGTGTGTGCACTGTGAATATGCGTTAGTCTCTCGCATGCATTTCTCCAAAACCAGCCCTGACACTTGCTGCAATGCTCATTCTCTCCACCCCTGCCCGCATCACAGATCTCAGAGGAGTGAACACCCAGCCCTAAACTGGGTCACAGGAGAGAATTAGATAGATGGTGGTTAGGGGGCCTGGGTGTGTGTTGTGGGTGGGATGACTCTAGGAGCCAATAAGTGAGTTGGGGAGGTCTGTTGGTGTCCAGCCGATAAGGTTATAACTGAACTGGGTTCAGTGGTCTAGTGTACATTACCTCGCGCTGTTTGTTTTGTGTAGGAAACCAGTTTCTTTTTATTTGGCCAAGTGTTTTCTCCTAGCATCAGAAGGATTTGACTCATCCTTTTGGTATTTTGTTTGAAATTGGGATTTTTATGAATCGCTTCTTTCTTTGCTAGGTATTTGCTAATCCACTGAAGATCCCTGCTATTCAAGATACAGATGAATTGAACAGTAAGACAATTGGATACGAGGGAATGGACAGTCCTAGCCGGCCTCCCTCTGTTGGAGAAGAAAGCAGGACACCTTCTCTTCAGCTTAAGCCTCTGGATTCCAGTGTTTTTCAGTTTTCCAGGTGGGTAGAAAACATAGTCTGTCTTCAGTAGTAAGCCTCGGGGTCCGTTTTCCTGTAAAGTCGGGGTGGTTATCGGGTTATGTTTCTCCTAAGGCCTAGCATGGACTTCAGATGGAGAAACATGATTTGGGGGTAATAGAATTGTGTGTTGCATGTACTTGCAATTTTTCAACATTACAACTGCTGTGTCAAGTCTGTCTGTCTCTCTCTTTTGAGGTAATCATCCGACAAATACTCTCTTATGTATTTTGTATTCACGTTATGTTGGGAACTGTGTTAAGTGAAATAATGGACGTGAAAACTCTTTGAAAAGCATAATGTGCAATCCAAATGTAAGGTAATATTACATAGATGAGCATTCTTTCTTTCCTTAAGCTTAGGAATATTGAGGTCCCGTGGGGCCCCATAGACCTAGCACATGTTGGCCACATTATAAAAAATAACTATTAGAAGTTTGTGCCATCAGGCTAGCCTTCTCGTTCATTGTCTCCTAGAGCCAATTGTGAGTATGAGTTTAGTTTTGGGTTTCACTTGTCCATCTTCTAGCACCTCGTCGGTATAATTTTGTTAGTCTTTATAACAGGAAGGCGCATACCTTTTCTTTTTCTTAAATAACAGGGGTATTTGAAGTGTTGAAAGATATGACTGCCCCTCTACTACCATGAGTCTGGAACTCAGGACTCCTAATTAGGACATGCCTTCTCCTCTCTGCTATGCTTCTCACTTCTGGCAGGGCCAAACCATAAGGCAGGTACAGAGTTGCTCTTTAAAAGTAGAAACTTCTGCAGTCATCAGTAACGTGACTATTGTATCATGGGTTACGAACTTTTCATTGACCGTCATCATTTGGGGTATCTTCTTAATATATTCTAGGATAGAAGCGATGGTATATACATAACAGGATAAACAAACAAACAAACAATAAAGCCCCCAAAAAACGACTCCTGGCTTTTCCCCCTAATGGTACTGATTCTTTTCCTTATGTCTTGCTTTGTAGGTGGGTCTTTTCAGCTTCTCATCTAGACAAACATCTCCACATGTGTCCAAGTCCCCTATTCTGTGATTCTTCCACAGTTAAGCCCTGTAGACATTGGGAGAAGCCCATGACCCCCCTGAACATGAACAAAAGGTTTCGAGAGGAAGTAAGCTATTTTAGGAGCGACACTAGCAAAACTCTAAAGGAATTAAATGAGAATTGGTATGAGATCACCTAGAACGATGCCTTGGAAGCTAGGAAGCACTCAGTAACTAAAGTGAAATCGGAGTACTGTGGCAGGAGCCGTTTCTAAGATTGAACTGTGTAGCAAAATATAGTCCAGTCTGTCTCAGGGCCTTGAGTCTCATTTGAGTCTGTTCCCACCCGTAGCTTTCCAACTCCCGTTGTAGGTGGGGAGGGACATACAGTAAAGCGCTGTGTGTTTTTGAAGCACATTCTTGCCTCTCTGCTTCGATCTCCTTGAGGTAGCCATGCATCCAAATTGCCATTGGCATTTCAAGGTGTCGTAGCTCTTGAAGGCTGTCCTTTCCCTGCTGCGACCACTGTCTTTTCCTTTTTCTTCAGTGTTTCTTTTGTTACCCTAGAGTGGTTTCCAGTCCCCTGAAGGAGGTCACAGACGCTGATACATGTATGTGTGTATTTAATGTGTGCAGTATGGCGGTACAGCCATTGGGTGGCAGACTTCATCAGGCTTTCATGGGATTTCTGTATGAATTATTTACCGAACGGCACGTCCAGATTCGGGTTTTGGCTATAGAGGACAAGCAAAGTGCATCATTTGTGTGTCATTTAAATTTGAGAATAATATTCTTTCAAGGGAAAGAGATAACGTGATCATTGATGTTGCTAATGTCATATTTTATGTAGGCTCAGTAAGCTGAGGATGTCATTTTAAGCTACATGGATAAGGGGATTCAGATTGAGTGCAACGAGTCCGCCTTTTCATAGGGAGAAATGAAGGTACACAAGAGTTTGGTAAAATATACAGGGTTTTCTTGGTACAACAATGTTAATGAAATAATAGGTTTAGTCAGGAGTTACAAAGGTCTCCTTTGTTATTATCAAAATCTGAAGCTGATAAGGGTCCTTGGGTCATGTAGTATAGCTTTCCAACTCTAGATAAAATAAAGTCCACACTATCCAAGAGAGTTTTTTAAAAGTTTTAGCGGGGTAAGTTACATGACCTAGCAGGGGCCCCCGAGGGGTCTTTGGAAATAGCTTTGTGAGTTTCACAAACTAGCCAAGGGGATGGGGAGACGCGCAGTGAAGGGTAAGTTCAGCCAGGATGCAAGCGGGCATAATCGTTCAGCTTATTCTGTTAAAGGAAATAGTCCTTTTTGTTCATTCATACTGCATATATTTGAGTGCTTGCTGTATGAAAGGCAATGTTCTAAGGCAGTGATGGGATCAAAAATGAAGGAGTTTATGGCAGTCAAAGTTATACATGTAAGTATCCCCAATACATGCTAGGTTTCATATGTGTGGTTACAAACTTAAGGTCCAAAGTATCTATTAGCGTATGGACAAAGGAGAGAATTAGTAGCTGTAATTTATATAAATGTTTAGAGACCCCTTGAATAAACTGTATGTCAAAGGCTAATGATAAATAGTTCATGTTTTATTATTTTTTAATTATTTTTTAAAGATTTTATTTATTTATTTGACAGAGAGAGACACAGCGAGAGAGGGAACACAAGCAGGGGGAGTGGGAGAGGGAGAAGCAGGCTCCCCGCTGAGCAGGGAGCCCGATGCGGGGCTCGATCCCAGGACCTTGGGATCATGACCCGAGCCGAAGGCAGACGCTTAACGATTGAGCCACCCAGGCGCCCCTTAGTTCATGTTTTAAAAGGATAACAGAAACCGGGGCGCCTGGGTGGCTCAGTCGTTAAGCGTCTGCCTTCGGCTCGGGGCTTGATCCCAGGGTCCTGGGATCAAGCCCAGCATCGGGCTCCCTGCTCAGCGGGGAGCCTGCTTCTCCCTCTCCCACTCCCCAGGCTTGTGTTCCCTCTCTCGCTGTGTCTCTCTCTGTCAAATAAATAAAATCTTTAAAAAAAAAAAAAAAAAGGATAACAGAAACCATCCAAATTACACTATAATAGTCGAAGGAGAGGAAGACAGACATTCTAATATGTTTAAAAGAATATTTGAAAACAACAAACACAAGGTAGAAACAGAAGAACAATTTTATAAGTGAAGAAGATGGATTCAGCAGCCAGTATTAACATTTTAATGAGAGAGACTTCCAGAATGGAGAAATGTGAAGTGTCATGGACTCTTTCACCAACAAATAACCATTTAACTGGAAAATATTATTAAACAAAACAAGCATTTGAAGTTCCTGGAAATTGTCCTAGAGGCATTCAGCAAATAAATATTCATTCAGGAAAATCTATGACATCTCAGAGACAACCGCAAGAGACTTCAGCATTTAGCTTGCTCCCGTCCCCCTCCAAGCTGTATTTTACAAAAACTTCTCAGGGAGCTCCAGTCCAGGTGGGTGCGGTCAAGAAGCTGCGGGCTCCCTCTTTCCCTAGCTCCCAGTCTAGAGCTGTGGTTTCACCTGGGTCGGACAGGCCTCCAACATTTCTCGTGTCCCCTAGTTCTGTCTTGCTGCAGCTCTGTTCCAGGCAGACCCGGAGGACTAGGTCTCTCTTCTCCCACCCAGCCCCCACTCAGGGAGGAGGCACTCCCCCAGGGACAGCGTGCTGACGATGCTGGACTCCTGCTGCTCCAGCCCCAGCGTGCTTATAGGGCAGAGGTTCATGCCGGAAGCAGCAAGCCCAAAAAAACATCCCAGCATCCACATTCGTAAAGAAAATGTTCTTTCTTTTATGCCACTTCTGCACAGTGGCACCGAGGTTCTGCTTAGGGCAAGAGGCCTTAAAGCTGAAGAGCTCCTTCGCTCTACCGGAAGGAGCTGACTTTTATGTGGAACAGATCATGGAGCATTCCATTCGCAAAAGCATTGTCAAAAATAACGGTGATCTCGGTGAGCAGTAATTGAGAGGGCACTCATAGCTCTGTGATAACACGTTACAACGAGCAAAATGGCTGAGAGGTCAGAAGTTTGGTAACAGAGAGAACCAAGGAGAAAGCCAGTCAAAAAAGACCTCTCCTGGGATCACAGTCAGCCCTGGGATTAGGAAGGCTGTGCATAAACACAAGGCTCCATTTACTCAGGAGCAGTCAGACTAGGACATGAAGTGGACTTTAAATCAGTCCGCGAGCCTCACGCAGATCAAACAACAAAAGGACAGGGCCCTCACTGGCACTAAGGGCTTACGCACAGCCTCTGACCAACCACTGGCCCTTTCATAAGCTTCTCTGACCCAGGAACAAGTCCTAGGAAACCAGGCTCAGAAAGAAATCACACATATCCTGATAGACTGGAAGACCGCGTACATGCTCAAAGTTGTGCCCTCTCAGAGGAGATTCGAGAGGGAAAAATCCAAGCCGCTATGGCCTGGCCGGATGTGGGGCCGAAACAGATGCCTTGAACTGTGATAGCAGCCTCCGAGCCACACATACGTCCAATGGGAGAGGGTAGAAATCTAACTGGCTCAGGGGGCTTAAGCACAGTCTTTGACCAGTCAGTGGCCTATGCTGACCCAGGGCTGACCCCTAGGTTGCCAGGTAAGAGGAAAAACTAAGAAGAAATCTGTTTCCTCTACAGTATACAGCCTCTGATATTCCTGCTCAGATTTCTTCAGCCAAGTCACTAAGTAAACAACCAAGCAAACAACGACGTCAACCACTCAGGGAGATGGGAGCAGTAATCAGAGTGGCTGTGCTGTGTTACCTAAAACATCCAACTGTCAGGGCGCCTGGCTGGCTCAGTTGGAGGAGCGTGCGACTCTTGATCTCACGGTTGTCAGTTCGAGCCCTCCGCTGGCTGTAGAGATTACTTTAAAATTAAAAAAAAAAAATCTTTAGGGGCGCCTGGGTGGCTCAGTTGGTTAAGCGACTGCCTTCAGCTCAGGTCATGATCCTGGAGTCCCGGGATCGAGTCCCGCATCGGGCTC